TAACTAAGAGAGTTTTGCTTGCTGAAGTTTCCAAATGTTTTGATCCACTTGGTTTAGTGTCACCCCTTACTATAAGAGGGAAATTATTAATTCAGGAAGCATGGAAACTTAAATGTGCTTGGGATGAAATTCTACCTGAGGAATTCATTAACAGGTGGGATGAATTAATTGGTGATTATGAGAAAATTCCAATGTTGGAGTTCCCACACCAAGTGGCCAATCCCAAAAGGGGAAAATGTACTCCACATTTTTTTTTGAATGCATCAAAATTGGCATATGGAGCAGTTGCTTACCTTCAATGTAATAGTGTTATCTCTCTTGTTATGTCTAAGGCTAAAGTGTCTCCAATTAAATCATGTACCTTACCTCAGTTGGAATTAACAGCCATTTATGTAGGTGTCAAATTAGCTAATTATATAAGAAATAAGTTGCAGGAGATAAATATTAGCGACACTGTAATTTGGTTTGATAATGAGGTATCCTTACAATGGATTCGTAATGGAAACAGTAAAATTGTGTACGTACAAAACAGAGTCACTGAAATTAATCAGATGCAAGAGAAGTATAATAGTTTGGGTCAGCATGTGTTAACATTTAATCATATACCTGGTGAGGAGAATCCAGCTGATTTCATGTCTCGAGGTTTACCTTATGCTAAATTTGTAAATGCTGTATCATGGTTTAAAGGACCGAGCTGGTTGGTAAATAAAGCTAATTGGCCTGTACAAAAGGCGTATATTGCTCCTGTTGAAATTACTGTGACCACCGCTCCAATAGTTTGTCCTCCCTTAGCCATTGATATAAATAGGTATTCTTCTTTACCCAAACTAATCAATGTAACTAAGTTGGTGTTTAAATTTCTAAACAAGATGAATATATCATATAAGTTTTCACATCCTCTTGAGTATTGGATAAGGAGGGTACAGGAGGAAATCTATGGAAATGAGATTAAATTGATGATGGAAAGAAAAATTGTGAAAGGTTCCATAATAGAGAAATTGGGGCTGTATTTAGAGAACAGTGTAATTAGGTGCAGAGGTAGGTTACAAAATGCTGAATTGGGTTATTATGCTAAACACCCTATCGTACTGCCCAAAACTCATCTAACAAATTTGATTGTTCTAAATGCCCATAAAAATGTAATGCATGGTGGGGTACAGGATACCTTAAATTGTATTAGGGAAACTTTCTGGATTCCACAAGGATGGCAAAGTGTAAAAAGGGTGATTAAATCTTGTGTAATATGTCGTCGTGTGGATGCCAGATCCTATATGTACCCAGGTCCTCCACCATTGTCAAATGAGCAATTTGAGTCGTTTAGCAACGAACTCCGGCCGGCCGCAGTGTGGAAAATGCTGTATATATTTTCCAGAAATTCAGTATTTATATGTAAATAGATGGCCATACTGTATTTAATAATATTTATGTCATAGAAAACTGAGAGTCTGCGTCTGCGCAGAAGGAGACTCGCCATCTTGGTTTTGAATTGTATACAACGTTGGTGTGATGGGAAGGAATTTTCATGCTCTAGAGGTTGAAATTGGGCTGACACCTCTCAAATAGGAGGCGAAATTGTTGGACATGCATTCCTGCATAACTTGAGATATCAGACGACTGGACAAGACAGCTCCAGGAACCTCAGATAAGCTCTCTGGATTTGTGTATAATTCTGGCCAGTGTTTTCATAAATTTAATTAGTGAGGTTTTTCTGAGTATGATACAACTTAATATCCAGTCAAATTGGTGAGTGATATTAAGATATATTTTCCTTCTGTTATGTAATTGTGTATATATATAACCATTTATTATTTTTAATATACAGTCCACAAATTTATATATTTACCAGTATTCCTGGTGTATGTATATTTCATTTAATTAATAGGTCCAGAGCAACTTGTGGATATGACAGTGGTAGGTATCGAAGGGGGACATTTTTGCGACCTAGGTGTCCCAAATTCCTACTTGTCTAACTGATAAATAATAATTATCTATGTTCATTTACTGTTATGTACATAATTATACATACAGATAAATGCAATTTTCCACAATACCATTGTTTGCTGTGCCTAATTACTTTTTAAAAAGCTGGCCAGTCTTACCTAGAGGAAAATGTGTAATAATTTTGGCGAGTGTAATTTGAAAAAAAAAATTTAAATACTGTTTTCATGCTATAAATTGAAAGCGTCGTATCTGATTACCTTCAGCCTTTCCATGCTGATAACTTGATAGTACAACTTCTGAACAGTTTCAAGTTTAATGTGAGTGTATTTTAGGGTAGTGGTTCTTTTGAAAGGTTTGAAGAAATTTAGATACTAGTTTCTGTATGATGGCTCATAAATTCCATTGCTTGTTAGCCTTTTTAGCACATTGCTTGTGAGCCATCCTAGCACATTGCTTGTGAGCTTTCATAGGGTAATAATTTGCGTGTAGTTGTTGCTGCTTACAGTTGTTTTTGCAACTAGGAAAGATTCATGCACCAACTGACATGTGTAGGTGCCTTAGTCAAACTTATATAGACAATTCTCAATTTTGGTTTCTGTGTGATAACTTGAGAAAGCCTCTTCTGATTAGCTTCAACCTTTCAATAATGGTGCATCCTACTTATAAGAAGGTTGGGATTGTTATTAGAGGGTGTGGGTACCAATTTTATTTTTAAAACTGTCTTACAATTTTTAATGAAGTATCTTGACTCTGCCTCGTCAGAGGCATAGTCTTAAGAGGTGGATGGAACACTATAAGTTTGAGGCTCTATAGGTGCACATTTGCCATCATAACACCCAGGGGCATCTCGTGAAATATGGTGATGCGTAGCTAGCCATACACTAAAGTTACACTATAACAATCTCAAACACCATCCCACAGAAGTCGGACGACTTCAGGGCTCCAGATACTTAGAAAATCAATTGCTAAATATCAATAAAACAGACAAATTTTATTTCTTTGTGTAGTATACAAGTGTAGTTTACATGTAATAAAATATTGTTAAGCACAGAGAAAGCCATTAGGATGCATGTGCATTTCGGGCGAAAATGATACAATACCGACAAGATGATAAATTAGACACATGTGCAACATCTAGATATATTTACTATGTAGACCTTTCGCCATCCAGGGCTTTATCCTTTACAGTACAGAAGTGCAACTAATGTTGACATTTTTACTGTGGCAACGTTTTTGCTCTCCAGTAGCTTTATCGAGCCGTTGATAAAGCTCCTGGAGAGCAAAACGTTGCCACATTAAAATGTCACATTAGTTGCACTTGTGTCCTTTTACCTAACATATTGTCGGTAATTCTACCAACATTAATACAATACAGAAGACTGGGGATGTAGAAGATGAGGTAATCAGTCCCCTATCTCTCCCGTCTTCTGTTTTGTATTAATAAAGTCACTGATTGGCGAAACGTCTACATATTAAAGATACCCAAGTGTTGCACATATGTCTAATTCATCAAATCAATTGTTAACCAGCTTAACACAGCCGTCAGATAACTCCAAAACAGGGAACTGTTCGACTCACTTCCCTATCTTATTTCACCAGACCCCACTTTACTATATATTTATATCTGTACTTTGGCTGTCTCCATATTAGGATCGAAGAAGCCACATGTGTGAAACATTTTCTTCATCCATTGTTATGCAAATGATATATCATGTGAAATAAAGAACTTGAATTTGAAATAAATATCACAACTGCACGTATGTTTTCTTTCACAAGTAAAATTTGACTGGAAATATTATATATGTTTTATGATATTATTATAAATTTTAAACCTGCTCTTTGGGAGGTGGCGGAAAGATTACGAAAGAGCATAATGGATTCAGGATCGTCATCTATATTGGCACGTGAAAAAAGAAATTAAAAAAAGTTGATTGAAATAAATATCTTAGTTAGCCTTAAACGACGAGCAGTTTTCTGTGACTCTAACGTCGAGTCCAGTCAAAGAAGCTTCCATAAATACTGTAAGTCTGTAACAATATTTTAAGTGGATGAGATACTTAAAAAAAAGTTTTCACACACACATATAGAGACAAATACAACATTCTAAAGCATATATAAATTAAAGAAAGCTGATAATGGCCTAATATTAAATGTACCATCGGTGACAAATGGTGGTTTAAAAATTAAAATTTTAAAAAAAATTTTTTTT